ATGTCCGCAACTACTCCTGATAATGATCTACTGTGTCCAGGATCTACTGGACACTGTTTTTGAATCCAGTTCATTTCAATGGTGTTTGCATTGGAATAATGTTTGAAATCATGAGCAGGGTATCTTGTATGCGAATAGTGACATATAAATTTAAATCATAGCATTAGCAATTCTTAGCACTTTTCCTGTCTCAAGCACGGAGTAACAGGTTTCAGTAAGACTCCCAAATATATGTTTTAAGACTGCATCCTTTCACTGCAATTCATAGTATGGTACAGTTAAGAAATCGAATTCTTAGGGTGTGTAGTTAGTTGGGCTATTAGCCTATCATAACGAAAGGAACAATGCCTATCTGTGTTGTAAATACTGTCATTCAGTTGAACCTATTAGTTTTATTTAGGCTAAATAAATTGGATTTATGGACTTTCCTTCATACATTCAGTTGTGGTGACCTAAGGTAGAAATCACCTTGCAGAAGCCCATTAAAATGAAATAGGAGCACCACTGCCCTCTTTTGTTGCTCTTAATCATTGCAATGGCATTTATGCAGGTGAGCTTCCCAGTGCATTTGTGCGAAACACATTTTTACTGCATATTCTTAAAAGATGGTGTGGCTGTGAGAGGGCAGGGCTGCGACTATCATAAAAGGACCCTGCACTTCTGAATTTGGCACTAAGCTACTGCCACTACTCAAACTGCACGGGATGAGACTCCAAAGGGGCAGCAGATGTAGGAGCATGTGAATTTCATGCTGGAATTTGTGGAGCAGCTGAGAAGAACAGGGGAGGAACTGAAAGACAATAATTGAGCAGCCCTATTGCTGCACAGTCTTGCTGAATCATACAGGGCCCTGGGTTGGGCTGCAGAAAGGAAGGAAATTGGTGTCATGACCCCTGAATCTATCTGTGACCTGGATACTGAGTCAGAGCCTGCAGGGTGAGCAGGTGCTGCACTGGGTCAACTTCAGGGATCAGAGTTGACTGCTGAAGATAGGAAGGCCACTGAGGCTGTTGGACAGGAACCCCAGAGAAACCTCTCACACAATTATTCAGCCGTAGTGCCATCTCTTCTCCAGATCACCATTCAGGTACCTGGGTTCAACAACACATAAGTATTTATCTCAGGAATTCCCACAATCCCAGCCACATTTCCATATGCAGGCTGCAAGGGTACATTGCTATGGAAAGCTGGTGCAACACTCAGCAGGGGTGCTGTGGCCCCAGCTCATGCTGCTGGGATCCTCCCCAAGTTGCTATCCAGAGAATGGCAAAGGCAGTTTATTGTGCTAATCGTTCTGATTTTCCCAAAAAACACCTCAAGAAAAAGGAAAAAAAGATGGCTACCTATACTGTTGGATAACCAAAATGATTTCTCCTCTCGAATGAAAAAGCAATTTAAACTGCAAGTATTGTGGCGACTGTACATTAGAAAACACAAAGAACATGGGAGTCTCACCTAAGGCATTTCATGTTCACTTTTGGGCATTGCTCGAAAGCCTTGTCTTTGATAGCTCAAAGGAAATGTCTGTTAGGGCACACTTCCAAGAAACAAAGGGTGGCAACAGCATTATTTGCTTAGGGTAGGAACAAATATTCTGCTGAACAACAGAACAACAGAATCCTGATCAAGAAGAGAAAATTAAGAAAAGTTCCAGGAAACAAGAAACAAAGGCATGCTATGCCTAATAAGCTACTAAATGAACCTACCCTGTTTCAGTCATCATGTTAGATTAAATACAAAAAAACACTGGAAATGTAATTCATTTATAGCAACATTTAACAGGGTGTGCTTACGTTACGGTACATGAAGTTTTGTATTTTTATGCTGACGTGTCTCTTCTTCAGCCAGTGGAACCATGTTTTCAGTACTGTCAAGGACAACATCCAGATCACTTCTGAAATATTTTACTTTGAGGAATACTCACGAAAGAAAAAAATTAAATAATGAAAATAAAATAAACACTTTCTAAGTCAGAGAACAAACAGTATGAATCATTGTGAACAAGATGCTTGAGGATTTTTGTTTCTCAATTCACATTTGAATGAGCTCTAGATAGAGTGAACACCAGGACCGGAATACAACTCACTGTCCCTAAATAGTTTGGGCTCAAGGACAGGCAGTAAAATTTACCACCTATGCCCCCCATACACAAACACATATACAAACAGCAGATTTCGACAGTTCATAATGCCTTGCATTGAGATTATACACACTGTACCCATGCAAAACAATGTACCTCTCTTACTAACTCTTTTTTTTAAATGATATTTATTAAAAGTTTAACAATTACAGAAAAAAGGGAAAAAAAGAAAACAACACAAAATTTAACAAGACATACATTACAATACATAAAAAGGAAAGCATAAAAAACAATACAACAATATAACAAAAAAGAACAATAACACTAAAAATCCAATATTCCATATCTTTATCTTTCATTTACTTGTTTCATCGACCTCCTCACACCTCCCTTTTCGTATTCTAGTTCAATTAATTGCTTCAGCAAATTCTTTCCATCTTTCTCAGTTTTTGTTCTATAATTTATCTTAACAGTCTAACCTATTTATTAACTCAGCAAATCCTTTCCATCTTTAACTGTATTCTGTCATTAAATTACCTTAATTTATTTTAACCTTATCTTACCATAAAAAGCCTTAAAACTTAAAACTTAATACTTATTTATACATAACTCCTTATATCATTTCTACTAAAGCCAAGTAGTTTCATTCCAACATTTTTCCTAACACTCATTAATTTTACACTAATTCTCAAAATGAATTTTTAAAAACTTTCTTCCAATCTTCATCCAATCCATCTTCTTCCTGGTCTCGGGTTATGTCAGTCCTTTCTATCCATTCCATCTAGTCCATCAACCTGGTGATCTTCTGTCCAAGGCTCTTAAGTCTTTTCCATGTCCCTTCTGCAGATCTTCTTCTTGTTTATACCTGCACTTTACTTTGTCTTTTGCTGATCTTATTCTTAATTTCCTTCCTTTCTCATTGAGGAGTAGGTCTCGGGGAGACTCCAACCCAACCATGTCTCCATCCCCCCTCAGCAGGTCAGCCCATTCTCCACAGTCAGCACTGTAATCCAAAAAGTATTTGTAGGCATGTTTCAAAGTCCCTCCAAAGTTAAGAACCCCCACAACTCCAGACTCCCCCTGGCCCAAAACCATATCCCAAAAGCCGAGACATCCCTGCATAGGGGGGTCCATCCAACTTCCCATCTCCAAACCAAACAGTACTCCATCTCTCCAAATCTGACTTTCTCCAGATTCAGTCATCAAAGACAGCAGCTTATGTTCCAACAAGCCCTCGGGTCTCTCCATTTGTGTTACTTGAGGTTCAACAACAACCTCCTCCATTATCTTCTGCACTTGCCCTGTCAAAGCAGATTCCTGGGTTGGTTCCTGAGTGGTTTCTGTATGAGTATTTACTGTTTGTCCAAAATTACTGACTGCAACAGTCATCAAATCCATCTTCTCATGCAGCTGCTCCAACAAAGCACTTGTCTTGCAAAAAGCAAGCACCAAAACTTCTTCTAAGCACATTCTTATCCAAGGTCAAAGTCTGGTCTCACGATCCTTAATCTCCACAGCTGTGGAATTCCCCAGATCGACTCCAGCAACAGTTTAACAAGCTCCCTCTAGAGGAGACAATTTCTATTTGTATCCATCTTTTGAAAGCAGGTCCAGCAAGGAAAAAAAACAACTTTCATTTTTTAAATATTTTGTTTCTTTTAAATGCAAAAGGCAACATTGGAATCAATATGTTTCTCTTTTTTAACTATCTGTCAAAAGACGTTTCATTCACAGTTGATGAACTTCCCCAAAACGTCTGTCTCTGACACTCCGTTCCCAGGTTCGAGACGGTGGAAATTTATCTTTCTTTACTCTCTCTCCTGCAAGTTTAAACAATCTAAGATTCGCCCCCTCTTCTCCTGCTTCCAAGAGGGGTTTTGGTAATTTTAACTGAAGGAAATTTAGTCCTTTATATACGACTTTCCAGACTTTAGCTTGCAAAATTTTTGCTTCAGTCTATTTACAAAAGCGGAAGGCGGACTTCCTGTTTAGAACCTTCCCGCTTCGGTGCCAAATTAAAATGTTTTGTAGTCCAATTTTCCGTTCTACTCACGGGTAGTTGTTTAGAGTCCAATTGTCCACAGGGAAAAGTCAGCGCTCTCCGGCAACGGCTGTGCGGCTTCACTCCGTAAAAGTAGCAGTCGATTCAAAACACCGCGCCACTCACCCCACTTCGCTTCGGATCCCCTAAAAAGGGTTTCCCCGCGAGTAGGGGAGGCGCTCTCGGTGTCGGCCGAATCCCACGTTCCCAGGCTTCCTCCACCTGGGATTTTTGAAGGGTCTCCGCCTTCGCCGCGGCGGCAAGACCCGATTTTCACGGAGCGGGTTCCTCTCGGTCAGAGGAACTCCGCCATTGCCGATGGCGCTAACCCGGAAGTCCCCTCTCTTACTAACTCTAAATACCTGAGAGTAAGCCTGCAAGGAAGCCCATTACAAAAGGGCATTTGCTTCTGCATTGCTTCAGGCAGTGGCAGGAATGAAAAAGGGAAGGGGCGGGGTGCTGCTTGCCAACATGTGCCACCTTTTTCTTGCTCCACTTCAATCCAGGCCTGAACCCATCCTTCAGGTATAGCAGAGCACCCAGTGGCTTCAATTTGATGATGTGGCTGGGAGAATGCCTTGTGACTGGACGTCACTGAAGAACAACTGGCACATTTCCATCTGCATAAGAGCTGCCCTGAGCATGTGATTCGGGGCCTTCCATGCTCAGTGACCTTTATAACTACAGGGAAAGCCTATTGTAACATTTATAGAGGGAACTGCTCTGTAGAAAAGCTCTGGTGTGCGCTGCCAACCTACCTGTTGGTTAGTGTGATGTGAAGCAACTGGGACAACTGCCAGCGGGACACAGTCAAGTCACTGGACTATGTATGCTGCTGTCTCCCTTCTCCTATTGACCACTTGCCTGCCCTCAGGATGGATGGTGAAGCAGAAGGCCCTGGATGACTACGTCAAGCAGCATGACCCTCACTACAGCTACACCCTCAAGAACAAGGAGGACAGGCCAGATGTCACCATCTATACCCTCAACATGACCTCCCTGAAGTGGCTGGATGGTGAGAGCAGAAGATGGCAGTTTTCCGCTTGCCCTTTTCATTTGAGTAGGATGAGAAAGAGCGGGAGGGAAGCCTAACGTGATGTGGAGGCTGCTAGATGGATGTGATCTGCTCTGTGGGAAGTAAGGAAACGTGAGGAGCAGCAGCTACAGGCCTAGTCTCCCTGTGGCTGGCTAGAAAAGGGAGCATGGTCACTTCCCCAGCTTCTGGGGAAAACATAGTTCTGAGGCAGAGATCAAGACATAGGTCCAAGCAGGAAATAGAATCTCTTTAAAGTGGTTAATTCGCACAAATTATTAAGGTTGGAATTAGAAAACTTTGTAAGGTCAAGGTCTGATAAAAGCTGTCCAGTCTGAGAATGTAATGAAGAAGAAATGATCCACCATCTACAGAACAACTGCAGGGCAATTGGGAGCTAAGCTTTAATTAATGCAAAGGTTTATGCTGGGTCATTTGACTTTCTTGGGCCAGCAGCATTCTCCTACCAAATTTCTCCATATCCCAGACGCTTCCAAAATCTGCCCACAAGGAATTGTTCACTTCAGAGCCCAATCCAACGTGAAATGTTTTCACATATTGCTGCATCTTGCTTGAGCATGAGGAACAAGATACATGCCCCAACCTCCAGTCATACTGACCCTTTATTGGGGGATTTTCCTGACTGCTTTTATGATGACTCTTTTTTTACTTAGTGCATGGTTCTTTTGGTGCAGATTCCCGTGTGAATCAGTACATTGTTTTTACTGTTATCTGCAGGAGTGGCTCAACATCCCTTTCCATTTCCCTTCCTTCCATGCTCCATTTTTTGAGCTACGATTGATGGGGTTGATGGGATTTGGAATCTAACAACATCCCTGCCCTAATTGATGTCGGGGGGGGGCATGCTGGTGACCTTCCTTTCGCTTCATATGTCCTAACCCTGTGTGTGTGTGTGATTTCTCTACTATTAGATAAATATCAGTTATGTTTCTGTGTATCCATTCAGATTCTGAAGTGGATGCAACAGTTTGGTGGCATGAACTGACCATTGTTGTCCCCCAAAACCCCAAAATGACGAACTTGTGTTTGCTGATGATTGGGAATGGAAGAAATGATGATGTCCCTCAACCCATGGACTTAAGGGTTGATGAAGCCATTATGACAGCAAAATCTGCCGGGTTGTAAGTAGCAGGAAGAATCCCTGAGAAATGATTATGACACCAACTCTGCTTTGTTAACACTGTTAAAGGAATTAGTAGCCCTACTAGAATAGAGAACTGTGAAGCAGATGTTTAATGGTAATCTATTCCAATTCACTGTATTCAAGAAAGTTTCTTTATGCTTATTTATTGGGTTATCTGCCTCTCAGCTCCCCAGTACATACGTACAAATTATGACCAAGATGTTTCTTGAACTCTTTGTCACGCATACTCAGATCAGGCATTCAAATCATTTAAGAAACTGTAATGACCATGATTTACTGTTAATTAAAATGGCAGCAAAAGAACAGGAAATTAATATCAGTTTGCTCTTCTCTGAACTGCTGTAATAGAGTGTGTGTCTTGATTTTAGCAGATTTTATGACTGGCCCCAAAGCCACCCAGAGTTGTTGGCTCTGGATGCTTTGGCATCATTCCCTGTCAATCACAGAGAGTATTTGCTTGCGTTGATGTTATTTTCAAAGAAGCATGAAGCCATTGCAGAACAGATACTAATGACTAATACTTCGCTTTGTCTCTGAAGTTGCACAGCTATTTTGAGGCAGATCCCAAACCAGCCAATTACCTACCACGTAAGTGCTCTTCCCACACTCTCTTTCATACTCTTATGTGTGTCCACAGAATGAATTGATTGGGTGTAGGGATGTTCACATCTGACAGTTTTGATTTCTCTCTGTTTCTCATCCACCCACCCACTCAATCAAATCTAAAGTTCAGTTCTCCACAATTACACACCCACCTACACACAAGCCTCTTTTAGGGGCTTGTGAAGTTTCATCAGTATTTTAGGAAAATTTCTCCTAATAAGCACATTTTGTGTGTGCAGTTTCCCCTAATGTACACATTTTTGCAAGCACTTCCCCTAATATTACGCATTTTAGATGTTATTTTTTCCTAATACATCATTTACTTATTATTAGTTTCCTTCCACACACATACCTCTAAGCGATTTACAATAAACCAGGTAAAAAACAAAAACAACACAATAAGCAGGGGATATATTTTAAACATATGCACACACCAGTCCAAAATTGACACCCATAGCTAAAGACCGATTCATCCAACGGGGAAAAGCTGTTGGAACAAAAATGTCTCCAATAGTTTGTAGAAAGTGCAGATAGTGAGCTGTCCCTGCTCTGTGGAACAGAATTCCTGCTGGGATACAGCACACGCCCGCTCTTTGAACCTTTTACAAACAATGGAAGACATTTTTGTTTAGATACACTTTTCCAGCTGGATGAAATAGTCTCTGCAATAGATGGTTTATGTTGAATTGTTCTCAAATTTATCACCAGGCTGTTCTTATTTTGTATGGGTTTTTAAAGCAGCTACATGTTTGTAAATTGCCTTGCTACATGCATTGAAGGATATACAAAAATAAACAAATATGCAAAAATAAACAAATAGAATAGCACGTGCACATTTGTGTGTGCATTATTTTGCTGGCATACTGCATCGTGAAATCTGCGTGGACAGGTGTGTTTCATTTCACATATTGCTTCAGACAACACAAATGAGGGACATTGACGCTAAAACGCAAGCCGGTTTGAATTTCTCCCCCATCCCTCACTGGTATTGTTTTCCAAAGAAAACATTTGTATTTCACTTTTGATATATTGATCCTCATTCTGTCAAGCAGAATCACTCAACCTGTAACAGAACTGAACAAACACATTGCTATGCTAGAGTAATAGATCATGGCAGTTCTCGTTCCACCTGGTATGAGAACTAGGATAGGCCTATCATGTTGTTCTAGGGGACCAGATGGGAGGCCTCAACCCAAAACTTTGATCTGTTTTGCTTCTAGAAAATCCCTATGCAAGAATGCAAGAATGGCATTGAAGATTATGCTGTTTTTTGTTCATGGAGGAAGTTCATAATTGACAAGATGGCACAGCCAGATGTGCTGATTCAGTTCCCAATGGTCAAGGTAACTCTGGCTTCTTCCTTCTTTCTGGATTGGTGGACAGACACTGCCAATATTCAGGAACATGTTGCTGCTTGTTCCCAGCAATGCAGCATGGAATCATTCTTCAGAGGAATCGCGGGTGGGGGTGGGAGGGAGGCTAGGAGTGGCGAGAGTCCCCTTGTGCTGCTCAGGTGACTGGGGAACAGCTGAGAGTGGTGAAAAAGGGTGCCGGACTCCAGAATAAAGTTGATCTTTATTCTGAGGGCCCCCCCCCCATTTTTCCTACTCCTTGGCTGAGCCATGGGAAGGTATGCTGTCGACCATGTAAGATTAGGCACTGGTCCAGAAGCAGTTCTGAACAGGAAATAGGAAAAAATGCATGTTTCATGGAGACTATGCATATAGACTAGAGAATCTACATATGCCCAGAAAATGTGCAAAAGGAAGTCAAGATACATACATTTTCAACAGTCTGTTTGGGATTATGCATAATGGTCTGATAATGTTCAAAATTTAGCTGAAGATATGAACATTCTGCAAAGCCTATTAGGGATTATGTATAATTGCCAGTGATATACAAAATTCACTTGAAATATGCACATTTCCCTGGCCTGCTGGAAATTATGTATGATGATCACAAATTCTGCACAATTCCCTCTTCGTTGAGGGATTATGTGCACATTCTGCTTGAGAGCTGACGAATGAGCACACTGTTGCAACAAACTAAACACAGAATATATCAGAGGGTGAAATTAATTCATTTTGTTTCTAGGAGAAGGATTTGTAAAAAATATCAGTGAGGTGATGAGTGCTAATTCTTTCATCAGTACACTGTGTGTACCCTCAGTATTGCCTTTGCAGAATATAGGGCGCCCCTGTTAAAGCTCTGAAGACAAACCACCTTGTGATGGCACTGTGACTATGCCATTCTAACAATAGAGTATCCTCAGAGTCTTTGCAAGTATGTCCTTTGAATTCCAGAGGCTGTAATCCTTTTGTCTTGTGTTCAGGCCACTGTGCGAGCCATGGACACCATAACAGCGTTCTTACAGAAAGAATCTGCTGGAAAGTTGAACATCGCCAAGTTCATGTTGACAGGTGGTTCCAAGGTAGGTACGAAGGTCTGTGCTGCTTTGCTTTCCATGTATGTAACTCATCAGTTGCATTATCCTCCTTGTTTTCTTCTCGTTCCCAACCTCATTCTTTCTTTTTGGCAGCGTGGCTGGACCAGCTGGCTTGCGGCAGCTGTGGATGAAAGAGTTGTGTCCTTTGCTCCACTTGTATTTGATCTTTTGAATATCATTAAGGTGAGAATCCAGTTTCTTCACAGTAAAGTAAAGAAGAGTAGAGAACAACAAGACTGTACAAAGGGCAATGCGCTATGTGTGTGTAGTAATTCTCCATTCTACAGGATTTCAAGTACTGTATTTTTTGCTCTACAAGACTCACTTTTTCCCTCCTAAAAAGTAAGGGGAAATGTGTGTGTGTCTTATGGAGCGAATGCAGGCTGCGCAGCTATCCCAGAAGACAGAACAGCAAGAGGGATTGCTGCTTTCACTGCGCAGCGATCCCTCTTGCTGTTCTGGCTTCTGAGATTCAGAATATTAATTTTTCCCTCCTCCAAAAACTAGGTGCATCTTGTGGTGTGGTGCGTCTTATAGAGCGAAAAATACAGCACTTAAGCTTTGGCACTTGCTGTATGGAAAGTCTTAATGTACACAGAGAACTCACTTCTGGCTGCTTTGCTTCAGAGCTGGCATCATCAATACCGAGCATACTGTGGCTGGACATTTGCATGGCGGCACATACATGAACTGAAAATTACTCAGAAGCTGGACACTCCGCGGTTCAAGATATTAACTTCGCATGTTGATCCACTTGGTGAGCACTTCTTATGTTCTCAGATTTCTCTGATAAATGATATGGTAGCAGAAGAAAGGATAGTTGTAGAAATAGAAGGAAAGGGCAATTTTGGTGGCGCTACAATGCACGGAACAAGCATGGAAGAGCATGGTGTTATTCAGAGGAATAGAGAATGGCTCGACCAAATGAAGTCTTTCCCACTTTGGTGTAGATCCATTATTTTGTCTGGGGTGGGGCAGGGTAGGTAGAGCAAGTAAGCAATCAAGCTGGTCACTGATTAGACACTTTTGCACGCTATCCTTCAACAGCCTGCCTTGAGTAAGTGTTCACTCCCTTGCTGTCTTCCCCCACTCCAAACTTCCAACTCCTTTTCTTCTTCCTCTCTCATTTCTCCACTCCCCCTTCCTCTGCCTCTCCACATTTCTTCCTCTGTCAGCCAATTACCGGCTTTGTTAAGCTACAACAGCCACTTAATTAAGTGGTATACAAATTTTGTTAAATAAAAAAATTTTCTGTTGTGGCATGTCATTAATTTTATATAATCTGCCGACTTCAGATTTTGCTAGACTGATTCTGGAAATCAAATGAATATGAGAACTGCTGCAATTTCAACACCTGTGTCCACTGGACAGAATTCTCCCACGTCCTTACATTCTGCCCCCTTTAGGAATTTGTGATCCTTACTCCATTCTACTTATTCTTTATTGCTTCTGTGCAGTCTTGCTATCCTTTTTATGATGACTTATGATAAAACAAAGTGGTAGCAACCTGAGAAACATATGTTGGTCATTTCTAAAACAGTTAATTTTCCCATCCCCAGCATATAACGAACGATACATAAACAAACCCAAGTATCTAATCATAGCAGCAGGAGATGAATTCTTCCCTCTCGATGATTCCCACCATTTCTTCAATGAGCTATCAGGAGCAAAATATTTCCGGTGAGTTCATGCTGCTGCTCTCATTTTTCCTTTTACTATCAAACAGCAGCCCATGTTCCGCAAAACTACAACAAGCTAACTCATTCCGAGCCAAGAAAATCTGGATTCTAATTTGCATCGGTTACATGCATTTAAATGATAAAACCTTTTCTCGCTTAATTCTGTAATGTGTTACTGTTGTGCAATAATTCTGCATAGTCTAATCAAGGACAATGGCAAGGAGCTGTGCAGAATACCAAAGCTTCACCCTTGATAACAGGAAACTTTAGTAGCTCCTGTGGCTTTTGAGACTTTACCAGGCACACCCCACACACTCCCAAGCATAGGACAGGATTCAGCTAACAAACACAACCAATGGAAGCCCACACAAGGACTTCCACTGGCACAACAAGGTTTCCCCCCATTTCTGCACCCCCTTCCAGTTGGCTGGGGGGTTCAGGAGAACTCCTGGAACACAGGAGAGGAGATAAACAAACTTTCTTTTTTGGAGGAAGGGCAGAAGTGACCCAGGTTGTTAGGCAGTCAGTGGATGGTGTTATTAACCCACCTTTGTAATTAGAATGATAAACATGCAACCAGTGAACAAAATGCTAGTTCAGCCATCACTCCAATCAACACTGCAATGTTTCTGATGAGTGTCTGCCACTTATTATTATTATTATTATTCACTGTGTTTCCATATCCCTCTGTCAATTTGCTTGCCATCTTACTAATTAAGAAGGATTAAAAAAAGAAGAAGCCTGCAAAGCAGTTCTGCCCTCTGATGAGTTGAAACTCGATGACATAAAGGACACCAACCAATGGGTTTTGCACAAAGGCAGCTTTTGCTGTGTGGTTCAAATTAATCTATTCTTTCAAATTAATACATTCAAATTAATCTATACTTAAAAATGTTTACAATTGTCTTTACCCTCAGTAATTCCTGGCTTCATTTTTTTGAATCTCTCAAAGAACTCTGAAAGAAAAGCCGCCCAGAGTGGGCGGGGTATTATTATTATTATTAGGTTGTTGTTATTATTATTATTATTGTTATTATTATTATTATTATTATTATTAGACTTACCCTTGCAAAAGCCATGCTAGTTTTACTTCAATAAGTCTTGCTCTTTTATATGCTAATTCTATTTTTAATAAGGGTTTTCACCTAATTTCACCTATTAACTGGCCTGTTACTTCCTAGATCCCCTCTTGATTGCATTTTAAAAGTTGGTGTTACTTGGGCCCATTTGCATTCCTCAGACATGGAGACAGGTCTTCGGAACCAGTTAAATATTTCTGTTAGAAGAACAGCAATTTCACATTTGAGTTCTTTAAGAACTTTTTGGTGGGTAAAATCTGGTGATTTTCTGTTTTAAATTTGTCAGTAGAGCCTAGAACTTGGCTACAGATCCCTGCTGCAAAATTCATAGAGGGTTTGAATTAGAATATCCCCCCCCCCGCCTGCATATTTTTCTATATATGTATATTCCAAAGAAGAAAAACTCAGAAAGAGTCAAATTTCTGTGATTAGAGGAAATATGTAATTGCTTTGTCTATTGCAAGGGAGCTATTATTTCAAAAACCTCTCTGTTGCCCTGCAGGGCCACCCCAAACAATGATCACTTGATGACACGGGACCCATCGATTAAAATATCGATTGCAATGTCGGTTATAAGCTTTTTTCTTAACACCATTTTGAATCTGAAAATGCCCCAAATTTCCTGGAAGAGAACTGAGGTGAGGAAAACTCATGTTGCAACATAACTAATTCAGTCATGAGACTTGTTTTATTATTTGCTTCAAGCCATGGGTACACATAGCCTTTTAATTGATGAAAATCATAGTTTATCAAGGACACTCTGTTAAACTCAAGCTTACTAGGAAATTATTGGATTATTGGAAACAGGAAGCCTTGGCCAATGTTCCAATAAATGACAGGAACATTATGACATTTGGCCATTTTCTGAGGGCACTTGGTTGGTTTTGAGCTTTACTGGTACATATTAGAATATTATGACATTTCCTTCTGGCCTTTTAATGTTACATTCAGATACAGTAAATATTTAAATAGGCTCTATTAGTGTATGTATATGAATGTGCCCCTAGAGGCAAAGCACAAAGAAAGGTTCTTAATTTCAGTGAAACTGAAAGGTTCTTAATTTCAATGAAAGCTGTAGGTTGATTTCACACAGACTGTTTCCTGACACATGTTTCTATACTAGCCAGCTAATTAGGTGGCTGCTGTTGAAATGAGATCTTTGGGATCTACGTAGAAAGAACCATTGCACAGTGGTATTTGCTTTGCATGCTGAACGTCTTTGGTTTGATCCCTGATGTTTCCACATAGGCCTGGGAGAGAAACCTGCTTGTAATCACCCTAGACAGCTGTTGCCAATCAGTGTAGACAAAACTGAGGTAGATGGACCCAATGGTCTGACTCTGTATAAGACAGCTTCCTATAGAAAACTTTCATGTCGCTGATAGAAGAAATGGATGATAGCTTGAGGAACACTTGATATTTCTGTCCTATTTTCTCTTTTTCTAGACAAAAGCTGCAGGCATTATCGAGCTCTACACAGATATGGAGCCTTCAGCAGTTAAATGTTTCTTTTCTAACACTTTGGGCTCTGAAAGGTAGGATTTATTGTGTATGATTTATTAATACAAATATGCAGAGTTCATATAAATATACAAAGAATGGGACAATCTGTTAATCTTAGTTGTCTCTTTCTTAAATTCAGTTCTCCACATTTCTGCTGCAATTTGCAAATTACTGTTTTTTTAAAAAAAATCCTCATGAAAAATTGCCAGCATTTTTGTGTGCTTTTCTCTTAATCTCCACATTTCTGTATGTCGTTTTGTCAAATATACATATTTTTGCTAACAACTCCCCCTAGTGCTTTTTTGTTCTTTATTTTCACTAGCCTATGCCTTTATATGCACACTTCACCCTAGCATTTCTGTGCACATTACTGGGCTTGAGAGCTGCATTGCAAACTTCAAAGACATGTGAATTTTGAAGGATGTCTGTGTTTTGGTTTCCACTTTATTTTTGAAAGTGTGACAATGGAGGTTCGCTTTTAAATCTCTACAAAGAAGCCATTGGGGTGTTCCCTTCCCTAAAGTGTGCAGTATTTTCTCTCTAGCAAAAAAGAAAAGAAAGCATTCTGATTGCTCTTTGTGAACAGCTCCACAAAACATTATAGTTTTTATACTTTTATATGTTTTCAAACCTACAAACAAGATTCATAAGGGAACTCTGTGGGTGGACTACTGAATATGCTCTAGAACTTTTTGAATCGGGTTGATAATTTTGAAGAACCATCAGAATGGCTGAGTCATCTGAGTAGTAGACAAAGAGTATTTTTGATTTCCTTATACATAACGATCCCTTTTGCTTCAATAAGTGAACTATTGCCTTGGCAGTGGTACTTGTCTCCAAAAAGTAGCTTCCTCAGCACTCACTGTGCCTCCTCCTTCCCTTCTCATTCTCAGGCGAGACTTCAGGCTGTTGGTGGGTCCTGGTCCTTCAGGTGTTTCACAACCCATATCTTGGCTTCCCTGCAAGGTTGAGAAAGTGGTAAGAGGATTTGGGATTGGGGGTTTCTCTAAGCTTCGTAACACAGCTGAGTGAATCAAACCCCCACCCCTACGCACACAAGCAGTTCTTCAAAAATAAATTATTTCCTTCAAAGATGGGTTCTGTTGCCGACACATTGAATTAGCCCATTTATTTGCAAAGTTCTTTTTAAAAAAATTACACAGATAGTGAGTGTACTCAGTTAGGATAGTGGTGTGGTGTGGTGTGGTGTGGGTGTGGTGTGGTGTGGTGTGGTGTGGTGTGTGTGACATGTACCGGCTGGTTACCATTTGTGATGGGCTGCACAGGAAAGTCCATTGCTGTTGCTTCCACCTTAAAGGAGCAGAAGCTCATATGTAACAATAAGGCCCACTCTGGAACCTGCTGGGTTTCTTCAGAAGAAAGGGGTATACATTGAATGAATAAGTAATCCAAGAGTCAAACAACCAAATAAAATGGGATTCTTTTGTTATATAAGTTACCAAAAACATCCATAGGATGGTTTCATTTCAAAGCGCAGCAGAGTGTATTTCCATCTATTTCCATCTAATGTTGCCCCAGGAGATGTGAGCTAAAGAGCATTATCTTTATGCTGTAGTTCTAAAATGACCCGTGCTAGAAAGTAAGCCCCACTAATATATTGGGGCTCATGAGTCTATAGCGGGGTGGCGAACCTCTTTCACAATGAGGGCTGCATTTCCTTCTGGGCAAGCTTGTGGAGGCTGCATGCCAGTGATGGGCAGTGTAAAAGGCAAAAGTGAACAGAGCAATCAATGTGAATTCCACAATTCTGCAGTAGCCTAGTTTCTTCATAGACACACTTTTTTGTCTATCCTCCATCCAGGCAAGCAAGAAGTATTATCAGAGTCCAAGGACACATTCCAGCCAGGGGGAAACAGTCTAGGAGGGAGGAAAGCACAGCTGGTGAGGGTTGTGCTTTGGAAGTGTGGGTGTTCTGGAGATTATCCCAAGGGCCAGATAGAGAGGGCTGGAGGGCTGCCCTTGGCCCTGGGCCTGAGGTTCCCATCCGTGATGTATGGAATGGTTTATGATCACCTGGAAAGAAGTGCGATGTAACCCCAACCCATCTTGCCCCACTTTGAGCACAGTCGCCATAGCTGTTCCACTCTACCCTGTCCTTGGGAGACTCAAACCAGGAACACTCTTCTCCAGATTCACACTAGTGAACATTTTAGAATTTCATAAGCTCAGGGTTTACAAGAGCGCCTGTTACCTGTTCATTTCTCAGTGGCTTCTGTCTGATCTCATTGCAGAAAACAGGTGTTTATAAGGCAGAAGAGGAAAAGCCACAATTGGGATGGAAGGCTTTCTTTATTGAGGTAAATATTCACTCCAGTCTAGTATTTGACTCCCCCACCCCCAGGAGAGAAAACTCTGAGTGCATTGAGTACCAAGACTGATGGAGATTCACCCAAATCAGTGTCCCTGGAAATAACAGGCACTTTTAGGAGGGTCATGTATTGGCATTAGCACTGAGATGCTAAGCCAGAAGAAATCAAGATAGGTTGTTAGACTACGTTTCTCAGATCACACAATTGCTCTGGAGTGTCTACCCTATTCCAGTGTCAAATCTTCATCAACACCTAAAAATAAAGGCTAGACGGTTTAAGTTTTCCATAAAACATGTTTTGGGCAAATTATGGCTTGAATAAAGCACTCCTAAATCAGAGTGGTTGACAGGTAGGAACTATGAGCTGGAAATTGCTGTTCCATGTTGCAGTCCAGGCATTAATTCATTGGCTGCTGTAATCACGCCATGATATTTCTTAGGGCTCTGTGAAGCAACCCAAGCTGCTTCACTTCTGACTGTCCCCTATTCAGTTTGAATTGCTACAAGAAGGGGGTGGTATTGCACCCCAAATCCAAAGCTGCAGCTTCAGACCTCCCATTGTCTTGCATTGGGAAAGCAAGATATTCACAAATTTTGGAATAGTTACATAGGTGCATAACACCTGCTGACATAGAAGGCCCACCTCTCCAAAAATAGGATGAACCCTGCCAAATTTGAGACACATAGGTCGTGTGACTTTTCTAATAATAATAATAATCCAGAACAGTCATAACTTATTTGAAAAAGATTTTGAAAACCTATCTCAGAAAACACTATGGCCAGGGGACAACACACAATATGTGTATATGCTTGTGTGCATAGATATATGTATATATAATGTTGGATTGGGAAGGATGGAAATTAATAGAAAACAAACACGTAGTTTGATTATGAAGGATCTATGACTCATTGAGAGATGATACAAGTGTAAATAAAGTTCAAAACACCATAGCCACATTTGGGAGAGGAAGGAAGTAAAACTGCCTTAGTGGCTATTATAACTGGAGACTAATATTGGCAACAAGCTCTATGTGTGTGTAGATAGATAGAGAAGGGTGAAAAAAGCAAATAGGTAGAAATGTTGGGTTAAGAGACAAGCTGAATCAAAATACCACAGCAAACTCCTTGTGCCATTCATAGTACTAGCCATAGAGTGAGGGGGAAAGGCACTGGGACAAAGATACTAGGATTGTGGGGATGAAGGATAATATTCTACGTCTGGGTTTGAGGCTACGGGGAGCAAACACCAGTTCTACTAGTCCCATTGACTCCATCATCGTGTTTCCCTTATTTGAGGACGTTTACATTTTTCCAGTCATTTTGGAGACAGGTTACTTGGCTTAGATCACCTTTGCTTTGTAACTGAATGTCTCCAGAGCAGGGGGATCTTTGGCCCAGATCGCTTTGGGGGCAGAGCTGAGCCTTGGAGGGACCCTACTTTGATCCCGCCTCATCTTGGGATTTGGATGCAGTGGTTGCACAACCCTAGCTGTTAAAACAATTTGGGGGGATATTGCATCATGTGAACTACTTGCTTCTGTTTAATGAGGGAATATTGGCTTTGTAACCAATAATCTAAAAGACTCAAGGCAAAAACTGGTATTACCCAAATTACCAAACACTTAGAGTGGCTGGGGAAACCCAGCCAGATGGACAGGGAAATAATAATAATAATAATAATATTTATTAGCTTACCTTTCAGTCTAGCTCACTCACTGTGTCCTTCCAAAAACAATAAAGCAACTATGCCTGAAAGCTCTTCTTTCATGTACTAATTGAAATCCAGTGATAGAAAGCTGTTGTGCTGAATAGGCAGGAAGTATTCTTCCATAAGCTACAATATGCTGTAAGGCACAACAATTATTTTTTAGCTATCCCTGTGATTTGCACTCCCAATGTAGGCTCCGTTCTATTAGATTTGCAAGGCGAGCTATTGAGCAGAACTGCAATTTCTTTTCCAGGCCACCTTCCCAGGACCTGGGACCATTGATTTTGTGTTAAGTTCTGAGGTTCACATCATTCCAGACACTTTTCCATGTCCAGCCTGCCACGGAAAGGAATGCAAGGGGAAGGTGGTGTGACACTCACCAAGGATGCTATAGCTCCTGCTGCTGAAGACATCCATGAGTGTAAACACGAGAGGTGCTCAGAAAACCATGCAGAGGAGTCGGGGTGGGTTGGGCAGAGAAATAATACTGCATAGAGAATGCGCAGGTTCAACTTCAACTAACATGAAATGGGAGAGGGATGTGGGGTTGCGGGGTAGGTAGGTGAAGATGTCAGTCAGGAACAGGAGCCCTAAAGGAGGGTTGTGGGAAATGGGTCTGGGATGAAGCATATTGGGCATGAGACAGAGGGAGGGCCTGGTTATATAAAATTATGAACAATTAATGCAGCAAAGGAAAGTGCCTTTGTATTCCTCAGATCTCAGGATCAAAAGAAAGAGAAGCACTATGCTCTATAAGTCTTCACTGAAACTCTGTACAAGTATTTGAGCATTTGATGCACAATTCCTTAACCCGGATTTAAAATAGTTTAGCCTCGTAGACTTTGATGGGATTAAATAGCCTCTAATCCAAGTAATTGATTATAGCTGGATTGTAAATCATGTAAAATGACTGAGTTCAAATTGCACGTGAGTCACAGACGGAAGTGGGTGTCTTCTTTGGCTAGCTATTATCTCTTCGTTTTCAAGTCCCTTCTGCAAAATGGGGGTAACAATAAAGTGACTATATTTTGTGTGGCAGAAGTGAGCCCACCTGCTGTGGCTTTCATGGCCTGATGATTTCTAGCTGTTCATTCCCTGTTAACAAATAAAGGTTGTTTCTGGCATTCTTACCATCTTGCACTGGGTGAGATTTTCTTGTGTTTTGAAGTGAACCGCCACTTGCTCCACTATCCTCCTATAGCTACTGTATGGGAAATGGGTGTCTATTCTTAGGGTGTGTAGCAGGTTGGGTCATAAGCCTATCATAACAAAAGGAGTAATACCTACCATAGTACTATCAGTGTTGTGAATATATGTCATTCAGTTGAACATATTAGGTTTGTTAGTAAGGTGATCTACAGACTGTCCTTCATACAGGCAGTTGTAGTGACTGAAGTACAAACCACCAGGGAGTTCTCTTGTAAAAGCCCGTTAAAATGAAATAGGAGCACCACTGCCCTCTGCTGCTGCTCTTAATCATGGCAAAGGCATTTATGCAGGTCAGCTGCCCAGTGTGTTTGTGCTAAACAGAATTCCAAGCAAAGAGACTGAAAGCTCATTTTGACTACATAATCTTAGAAGATGGTGTGGCTGTGAGAGCGCATGGCTGTGACTATCATGGAAGGACCCTGCACTTCTGAATTTGGCACTAAGCTAGTGCCGCTACTCAAACTGCATGGGATGAGGTTCCAAAGGGGCAGCAGATGCGGAAGCATGTGAATTCCATGCTGGAATTCGTGGAGCAGTTGAGAACAGGGGAGGAATTGAAAGACAATAATTCTCCAGCCCTATTGCTGCACAGCCTTGCAGAATCATACAGGGCCCTGAGTGGTGCTACACAACGGAAGGAAATTGGTGTCGTGACCCCTGAAACCCTCCAACACCGCAAGGGCTTATAAGCAGTTCTCTACAAGTGGGTGGAGCTGGGAGGAACAAGTCATTTGCTTAGTGCTATCCATGAGCCAGCTTCCAGGCTTGCTTTCCCTGTAGAATTCA